TCCATAAATGTGTGATTTTATTTCTGGACTCAATTCTATACCACTGGTCTGTGTCTGTTTTTTGGTTGTTGTTTTTTTTCCCCAGTACTATGCTGGTGCTGGAGACTAGCTCCAACAATTGGGGTCACAGATGTTCCTGTAGGAAATGATGTTGGTTGGTGAAGGTGAATGAGGGACTCAAACACTGGTTCAGGTGCAAGCTAGTCTCAGCAGGTCTTTATTATTTTTGTTAGCAAGCAGTGGGATTACATCAGCATATGCATTGGGGGGGGGAAACAACTATCACAACAGTATGAAGTCTTTGACCTTTAGTCAAGATTATAATGCATCATTTTTTAAGGAAAACACAGCTAACAAGCAAAATGTTATTATGATTATTCTCTTTTGCAGCTGGGCAAACAATTTACTAATGATAAAGCAGGCAGATGAATTCGTATAGTTATAACTAGTATTTCTATTTATATTATAATAAAAAGTTAACAAAAGCTTCTTTTACCTCTAGTTACTAAGGGTCCTCATTTTCATTAAAACATCCTAAAAAGATTAAAACAGGCCAGGGTAAGGAGTGAAAACGTTTACTTCACTCAGTTCTAAAAGAGAGGTAAGAGTTGAAGGCTGAACAAAGGCTTAGTTAAGCTTTCTGGTTTCCAAAACTTTTTTCTCTGGAGCTTAATTTAGTGTGCACATCTGGAAGATAGTAGAATGAGGGAGTTTGAATTATTGGTTTGGACAGGAAAAAAGGCTCTGGTTATTTTTACATTGTTATTAGCACTGTTTTACTTTGCTATATTAACTTTACAGTAATAGCCAATTGCTTTTATTAAAACAGCCAAATGTAAAATCAATTTTTACTTCATCAAATGCATTCAAATGCAGAAATGGTTGTAATTACAGGAGTAGCCAAAACAAAACAAAGAGATCCAGTAGGAGTCAGCTTCAGGGTCCCTGACTTTTCAGGAGTACCCCCTTATATCAGATTGACCCACACCATGCTAGTTTTATTATTATGGCTTTGTAATATAGTTTGCAGTCTAGACCTGTGATTCCTCCATTTTTAAATTTTTTTGTTGAGAGCCTTGGCTATGTGGAGTATCTTGTTCTGAGTATTTCAGTAATATTTGCTCTGTTTCTTTGAAGAATGCCATTGAGATATTTATTGTATTGCTTTGAATCGATGAATTGCTGTGGGTAGGAAGGCCATTTTAACAACACTGCTTCTTCCTATCCATGAGCAGGGAATCTTCCATTTCTTTGTGTCTTCTATTTTTTTTTTAACAATGTTTGATGATTTTCCTTGGGTAGTTCCTTCACATCCTTTGTTAGGATTACTTACAAGTTTGTTTTTTTTTTTCTTTGTAGATTATAAATGAGATGGATTTCTTAAATTTTTTTCTTGTTGTTTGTAGCATTAAAAAATTTTAATGCAGGGCCCTCCCTGGTGGTGCAGTGTGTTTGTTAAAGCACAGCACAGGGAGGCTTAGGCCACTTCCACATGAGTTCGATCCCCGCGTGCCCTGGAGGAGATCCACATGGAGAGGCAGACCTCTCCTGACCTGCCCGCTGCTCCCCTCAGCAGTGTACTTTGTCAGTCTGCCTGTTCTGCTCCCACTCTGTCTCTGGTGATTCCTTTCACCCTCCGCATCTCTGGCCTGTACCCCAGTTCTGTACGAATAAATAAATCTTTAAAAAAAATTTTTTTAATGCAAATTCTAGCCAAGTCAGAGGTGTATTGTCTTACTTTCTCCACCCTTTACAGATTTGCACAGTAATATGAATCCTTCTCAAGTTGATATAGTATATCATCATCCCTTTATAACATTCCTTTGTAAATAGTCCACTTATATTCAACCCAGAGTTGTGTGAAATGTTTCACTGTCACAAATAATGCTTCAATATTAAGATTTTTCACTTGTCTTTCCTTTCTAGAATATTACTTTTAAAATTTTAATACTAGTATCCTTTTTTGACTAGTTTATTCATATCAGATTACTTTTAACATTCTCATATTTATTTCATTAAGGTTCTTCAGAGTCTAGTGGCACTTCTATTTTTTGTATCATCCCATATTCATTTGTGGCAGGTAGACTTTCCCCTCTTGAGTGTTGAGCTCACTTATGTTGTCGGCAGCCTAGATAGAGGATGTCACACTCCAAAAAGAATTTGCCTCTACTAGGTGCTTACAAGGGAGAACATTCTTGATGTTAACTAGCTTATAAGGTTGTTTTCAGGGTATATAGTACAAATTCAAAGTCCATATATGTGAGGACAAGTTCCTGGTTTTAACAGTTTTAAGTGAATTCCTTCTTGCCCACCAGTGCCTGAGTCAGAATAACAAGTGTCCCCTTCCTTTCCCTGTCCTGGGGAGGCAAATGTTTTCTTCTTCTTCACCCTGTGAAAAAGAGTGTAGTCCTTTAAATGGTCCTGGCCTTGTAATGGTGAGTTATTTTCTGAGTCCCAATGTAGAGTCTCAACTTCCTTTTATTCTGAGCACTGGAGACTGCAATTTAGTTTTCAGTCATGGTTTATTCATTTAGCATGTCTAGTTTTTTTGAATGAAATGTTTTTATGTCTTTAGAATTATTTAAGTTAACCCACTGGGGCATAAAGCAGGCAATAAAGAACATGGATTTAGGTACCTGTTTATATCCTGGTACTTAGGCACAATAGCTTTGTTTATAGGTAGCGTTTCCTCTGTATATGTTTCTTCTTTTGTAAAATGGAGATAAAGTTGCATGAAGTTTACATATATAATTAATATAAAATGTTCAGCATAGCATCTAGAATGTGTTAAGTATTTCACAAATTATATTTTCACTTTTAGTAATTTTTACAAAATAGAATGTTAAGCTGGGAGAGTAGAAATGTACTGACTTGGAAAAAGTAGCAGTAAAACTGACTGCAATAGATAAATATTATCTATTATATATGCACATTAGATGTATATAGAATATATATTATACAAAGTACATTTTATATACATAAAGCACATATATATGCATATATATTATAGGTGACATTGTCATCTGTATAGATATATTAATAGTACCACACTGACATCTAATTTGAGCACAATATATACTTTTTTTTTAAAATAAAACACCCATTCTACCCCTTCAATTTGATTCTGATCCCCACTCTTCACCTCTGGTAACCTCAGTCTTTTAATAGCCATTTCTTTTTAAATTATGTTTTCATTTCTTTTGGTGGTGTTGAGTCCCCAATATCACTTATGTGGTGAAATGTGTCAATGATGTTTTCTACTATGTCCTTATGTCTTCAGGTCTTACATTCTTAATTCACTTTTAATTATTTTTTTTATGGACACTGTGATTTAGTTTGCTTCCCCATCACCATTTAAGAGATTTTTCTTTCTCCATTATATGGTTTTACCTCTTTTGTCATAAATAAGGTATATATGTGCAAATTTATTTCTGAGCTCTTGTTCTGCTCCCGTGGTCTATGTCTATTTCAATCCAAATACCAGAGTTTTAGTTGCTATTGCTTATATTTTAAAACCAGGTAATATGTCCCTATTTTTTTTCTCCAAAGTTGCTATATCTGTTTTGATGCCATATAAATGTTAGGATTTTGGATTCTATTTTCTTTAAAAAAAAAAATAACATTGAAATATTAATAGATTGCATTAATCTGTATGTTGCTCTTGGTAGAATGGTCATTTGACTAATTCTCCCCTCCTATGAAAATGGGGTTGCTTTCCATCTTTTTGTGTCAGTTATCTTTTTTTTTCTTAAAATTTATTTATTCATACATACAGAACTGGGCCAGTTCTGCGAGCTAGACATGCAGGGGTAGTGAGAGGGTTCACTAGAGACAGAGTGGGGAGCAGAATAAGCAGATAGTCCAAGTACACAGCTGAGGGGAGCAGCAGGCTGGTCAGAAGAGGTCTGCCACGCTATGTGGATCACCTCCTGGGCGGGGATCGAATTCATGCTGAAGAGGCTTTAGCTTCTTAGTGCTGTGCTGTAATCCACTGTGCCACTAGGGAGGGCCCCGTGTTATCTTTTAACTGTGTTACAGTTTTCATTGTATAGATCTTTCACCTCGTTTGCTAAATTTATACTTACGTATTTACTTTTTTGTAGTAATTGTTAAATAGGATAGCTTTAACTTCTTTTCTTCTTGCTCATTACTTGTAAACTACCATTTTCCAACCTATCTTCATTTCTAATAGTTTTTTGGTGGAGTCTTTAGGTTTTTATTTTTTATTTATTTTTAAAAAAGACTTACCAATGCATAACAAACTGGGGTACAGGCCAGAGGTGCAGGGGCAGTGAGATGATTCACGAGACAGAGTAGGGCGCAAAACAGGTAGACTGATGAAGTACGATAATGAGGGGGGCAGCAGGTGAGACAGGAGAGGTCTGCCACACCATGTGGGTCACCTTCCTGGTCTAGGATCGAACTTCTGCTGAAGCAGCTACAGTTTCATAATTCTGCACTTTAACCCTCTAAGCCGCCAGGAAGGGCCCAGGGTTTTTAATACAATTTGCAAATAATGATTTTCTTTTTTTTCCAATTTGGACTCTATTTCTTTTTGTTTTGTAACTGCACCAAGACCTCTAATACTAAGTTAAAATTAAATAGAAGTGGTGAGAGTAGACATCTTCACCTAGCTCCTAACCTTAAAGGAAAATTTTTATACTACCATTGAGTTTGATATTGACTGTGATTTTGCAATGTATGATCTTTATTATCTTAAACTGTAGTCACAGTATTTTAAAATATTGTTCATATATCTTGTTCAAATAATTTCAAATACTGCTCATGCGAAAAATAAGAACACAACTTAATGATGGGAAGATTATCACATGAAATAAAGTATTGCCTTGAGGAAAAAATCTAAAACAGTTGAAGTTTGAGACAACATTTCTGGTATAGAAAACTCTTAACATCAGTGTCATTTTAAAATAAATAAACAGTCTCATAACAAAGTTAGCTGTTGATGCTAAACATTTAAAAGCAGAAACTGAAAGACTACGTAAGAGACAGAACAGAAAGAATTTCTTTATTGGGAGAAGTTAGAAGTCAATAGGAGGAGAAATAGGAGGAGAAAAACTATTTAGATAACTGATTAATGGCATTAAGTTACTCCTGTAAATACTAGAAAAAAGGAAGAGACAGAGGAACACACTAAAACTTCATACATAAGCTAGAAACACAGAAAAACAAATTATAAGTGTTTTCCACCTTATTGAGTGACAAGCGCTTTCATTATGCCTGGATCCATTTCAGGCCAACCCTAAACTATCATCAAAACTTTCTGCAGATTCTTGTAATTACACTGTCATTTTACTCATTTTCAGACATTCAGTTCATTAATCAAAGAGTAAAGATAACATACAAAAAGGCAGTCACAGAAAAGTCAGAATTAAATTTTATTTCACATTGCTAGAAACCATGAAAAAAGATTTATATATCCCACATTATAGCACAACGTTTCAACGGAATTTCTGGCCATAAATTAGAGCTTGCTGATTTATATAACTAAAACAGTTTACATTCTTCCAGGTAAAGCAAAATAATGTCATAAGTGATTGTTTAAAAATTTTAAATCCAGAGATAAACATATGGCTTCACTGTTAACATTCTATATAATCCATCACTAAATTATTTCCATTATCAATTAGCACCCATTTATAAAAATGCATTCCTAACATTTTTTCAGTCAGTTGGAATACAGCAGAAAAGTGAACAGTTTGAGTATATTGAATGTACATTTTTGGTACACCTTAAACTGTGGTAACACTACCAACTATACTGAGTTCTGACAAAACTTTTATTACCCATATACTTGCTTCAAATAATTTTTACCACTAATTTGAAAGATTTGACTACTTGAAATCAAATAATTTCTATTTTTATGTTTGCACAAAAACTAGTTGAAAAACACAACTAAAGTGAAAATCTCAATTAAGTCAACTGTCACATAAAAGTAAAGCAAGTTTTTCTAAGGGATTCCTCATTTCCTACAGTAGTTGATTTCAAACATATATAAAAATAAGTAAACTAAAATTCTCTAAGGAGAATCATCTCAAAAGTTACAGTTAAGATAAATCTTAAAAAGCCCAGAACATACTAGATTGTGACCTAATCAAATGTTCAGTTGATTACAGAAAATTAAAACCCAAATTACTCAATATCTAGAATGGTAATTCTAATAATTAAATAGATTTAACTCTGAACTAAAGTATAGTGTCAGCAATTAAGTGTAGGAAGTTTGAAGTAATGCCTGGTTTCTTTATGTAAGAATAAATACACTTTAAACACCATATCTACGATTCAGAGTATCAAATTACAGCATATATTGATAGCACATATCTATGTCAAGGATGGAATACTTGGTCTGTTATGATGGTTAATGAAAAAAACACATTTCTTCCGTAGAGGAAAAAAATTTAATAGAAATGCTAAGTGGGGAAAGAAAGGTCTGGTCCCTAAAATAAAAGGGCCATTATCTGAAGAGAAAATATTACTCCTTACTGACTTAGAAACATTGTCCCTATTATTAGGAATAATGTAATACCACCTCTTTGAAAATGTATACCACTTCATCCTTACATATTGCAGTCATTAAGTATATTTGAATACAAATATAAAAATACCGATACTGCATGGTGACTAAGTAATTTTGGAGTAAGTCCATAGATTAAGTCACAGCATGCATAAATTGTTTAATATCATAACTGCTCATTTACACCTGAACAAGTTTTCACTAAGCCTACTAATAATTTTCAAATGATGTAATAAAAATTTGGTTACAGTATTTTATTGTTTTGCCAAATTACATTTGGGGAAAGAAACTAGCTGATTCATCTATTTTAATACTAGTATATTCTGGATCATATACAAATGCATTTACAGAAACTAAAGGATCATAAATTTCCCATGAGGAGAAATTATTTAGTCTGTGTCATTGGTGTGCATTTGCAAAACTTTTAACACTGCAAACATTTAGAAGTTTCAAGATTGGACACAGGAAAGGGTTTATATTCTACTACAATGATGCTGGTGTACTTCTATACAAGGCCTCTTAGTGAAGTCAATCAACTGGAGGTAGAAGTTTATCAATGAATTGCTTGATATCCATCATTTCCTGTTTGGAATAAAGTGGGTTTTAATGAACATTTACATGAATCAGAAATTAAATCCCCACTAAAATTCCATTATTTAAATCCATGTTATGAATTAAGACGACACCATATTTTCACTACTGTAATTTTAAAAAAGTTAGAGAAACAAGGCTCCAAAATTTTAGAACTTTACCTATAATTATTTTGGCACACGCAAATGATAACTCATCTATTATCTAATCTCATAAAAATGGTATGCATTTTATTACACTTGAACAAAACAAAACACTGGTGGAGTGGGTAGGAGAATGGGGATTTAGAAATGACAATATCTATATGGAGAATTACTGTAAAGTATTACTGGAAAATTCTAGCTTTTAATATTCCTTATTTGAATGAAATACTAAATTCATAACAAAATATTTGTGCCTTTCACGAAGATTTATATACAATTATCCACCCATTTGAAAGAAAGCATGGAACTAAGACCCAAAAAAATTTGAAAGTGAACATGCCAAATTACTTATTATTGAAGTAACTTTCACAGAAGACTCCTGTACTCGACTCTATTTTCTCATCTCCCTCAACCATATTTACCTTTGTTATCACCAGTATTTCAAGGGTTAATGCTTCACAGGCTCACAAATTAGCAATTTAGAGAAATTGATTATAACTGAGTCACTCAAAAGAGAAAGATAGCATGAAAGTGGTCTATTTTTCTACACTTTAAAATTATGAGGTATGACTTGATTAACTCCTTTAAACTAAATCTCAATCAAGTGTATTTTCTTAAAAATACCACATGGAAAATTTAACAGTATATCCCTTGAATCACTGTTTCCAAACATTTACCTGGTGACATGAACTATGCATCAGGCCTTCGTAGGTTTTGAAGGTTACATTGGCTGGATCTACCAATGTTTTTAGCTTTTCTACAGTAAGAGCGCCAAACATTAGGGGAACTAATGGGTCACAATCTCCATGGCACTGGAGAACAGAAATATCTCTATTAATACCACTGATGGGACCCTGAAAAAAAAAAAAGACAACAAACAAGTATTAATAATTCAAATGTATAAAACATTATGTCAGGCATTTAAAACTAAGTACATGTACAATATGTTATTATAATAATTGGCCACAGAAATTAAATTCCTTCCATTCTTATACTCCCCATATTACTTTATCTAAACTTCTATAGCACTTATGATTATGCTGTCTAATTCTGAAAATGTTTTCCCAATGAATGAGTTCCATGAAGCAGACTGTATATTAATTACTAGATATTTTCACTATCTTGACATTACAGGTATATTTCAGTTGAATCGTGTTCCTCTAAGTTTTATTTAACTAATTTAATAACATCTCCCTAGTGTAATATATACAGTAAGTCCTCAGCTTTGTCCAGATTTTTGAAAACTGACTTTACATGAAAAGACATACAATGAAACCAATTTGATCAAAAGGATAAAACTAGAATCAAGTTCCCACTGCATAATTCTGGCCACAAAAACATCAACAAATTTATAAATAAATACCTGTAACACTTGTAATATTAAACAAAAACATGTAGTCATCTATTTATCTTCCAATCCCCTTATTCCATTTCAGGGTCATGGGTAGTTAAAGTCTATCTGCCAGTTCAGAATGCAGATGGGAACCAACCCTGGAAAGGAAACTCTTCCATCACAGGTACACTCACACACCTACCCACTCTGCCTCCATCTGTGACAACTGAGAAATGTCAATGAACCTCACATGGACATCCTTGGGAGTACACGGAGGAAAGAGGCAGACATGGGGAGAATGCACAAACTCCAAAGACAGTAGCATTGGCTGGGAACTGATTTTTTTTTTTAATTAATGTCATAACAATGACGAACAATGTTATTCAAGTACCTATTAAGTAACAAAAATTATATTCAATGGCAAAATTCTACTAGCAAACAGCAAATTCAATGTTCAAAAATATTTCTACATGCAAAATTTACATATACTAAGACCCTTCAAATATAAAGTTTGATGATGACATAATATACAGATAAAGCCTAAGAATATATTACAAAAGTCTAAGAAAATTCTTTAAAAGGGGATACTAATGTAAATTATGGGCTTCTGATAATGAGTCTGTGGGGTCATCAACTGTAACAGAAGTACCACTGATGCAGGATGTCAATAGTGGGGGAGGTTCCATGAGTGGGGAGGAGGTTTTATGGGAACTTTTGTACTTTCTAGGCAATTTTGCTGTGAACCTGAAACATCCTAAAAATATTAGGTTTATTTTAAAAATAAATAAATAAAACGATCCTTTTCCCAGTGCTAGAATTTGATGTATTAATCAGGATACCTGTGTAAATGAAGAACGCAGCGGAAGCCAGCAACTGAGTGCAGTGACCCCTGCCAGTTTTTGCTGTGTGGTAAGAGCAGTGTATAAAGATAAAGCTCCTCCCTGGAAAGATAAGTTGAGAAGATCAATGGAACGTATCCTCTGCTACAGTAACTTAATCTCTTGTTCAATGTCTGTAAGATAACAAACAAGGGGGCCCTCCCTGGTGGCGCAGAGGGTTAAAGCACAGCACTAAGAAGCTATAGCCACTTCAGCATGAGTTTGATCCCAGCCCGGAGGTGATCCACATGGTGTGGCAGACCTCTCCTGACCTGCCCACTGCTCCTCTCAGCAGTGTACATCGTCAGTCGGCCTATTCTGCTCTCTACTCTGTCTCTGGTGAATCCTCTCACCGGCCCTGCATCCCTGGACTGTACCCCAGTTCTGTATACATAAATAAATAGGTCTTAAAAAAAAAAAGATATCGAACTGGGAAACTGATGTCAAATCAAATCAGACAAACTAACAGCAATACAAACACACTATACCGTGACTACCCAATCACAGTCAAGATATAGTTAATTGTATAATAAGCTGCTGCAATTACAACTGCCTTAGGAATATTCTGAATTTACTGATACCATATTCTCTTCTGAAAATTCATAGGCATAAAATCAAATCTAGCCTTACACTGATACTGATTTCCAAAATAGGTATTCAAGATAATAAGCATTACGGAGAAGACATCACTAAAATATCTGTTCCCAGATCAGAACATCCTGTGCCTGGAAACTATGTTCCTTCCCATCTGCATCAGGATGATCAACACCTTCCCCCATCTCTCTCCCCCTTGCACCTCAAGCCTACACCCCAGTTCTTCTATACAAAACTAAAAAATTTATTTTAAAGAATTTTTTAAAATTATTTTGGCATAGAAGAACTGGGGTGTAGGCCAGAGGTGTTTGTATGTGGGGAGGTGGGGTGGTGGTGGTGGTGAGAGGATTCACCAGAGACAGAAAAGGCAAAGCAGACAGATCTGCTGCAATATACTGCTAACGGGAGCAGCACAAGAGAGATCTGCTGTGCCATATGTGGGCCCAGGGGGCTAGGGATCAAACTCAGTTTGTAGAGGTGAGAGCCTGAGATTTAATTCCTAGGCCAACAGGGAGGTCCCAAATCCTATTTTATATGATAAAAGAGTAAAGAAATTCACTTGTCTTCTGTCTCCATGTAATAGTTCCCTCTTAGGACAGATAATTTATACCTCTGTTTACAGAGTTTTATTTAAGAGGATACATAAAACTTAAAAAACATATTTACTAATATATGTATTTATATACATGTATATGTTTATTTTAGGAAACTATATTCCAGATTCCAATCAATTTACTTGTTTTCAAGGCATAACCTATAGTGTAAGCTATAACTGAACAAAGAAAAGTAGAAAAACAAGAGTGTTCTCTAGTAGTAATTGTTTCTAGTCCAAACTGAATTCAGCATCAAAGGTAAGTAATATATCAAGCAAGATATGTATATGTGTGTGTGTGTATACACAAATACACACACACACACACACACTCTGACTGTAGTGATATACAAACTAAACTTTAGAACTCTTACCTGAGAAAATCCTCCTAAAATAATTCTGTCAGAAGGAATGCCATTCTTCACTTCTTGATCTATCAAAGCTTTCACTAAAAACAACATGGAAAGTTAATCACTGATATTTTCAAAGCTAAGCCAATTAATATAATTTAAATAGGAAAAATAACATAAAAGTAAAATATATAATAAGATGGAATGAGTGAAAAACTTGAAGCAATCCATTAAACAAAATAAGAATGCATTTTTTAAAAATAAAACTAAGACTTCACGGGTGCTGCTTAAACAAATTATTTCTTGTTTGATGATTTGGAAACAACAGTTCTTTCATTAATAAATACTATTTTACATATAGTCAATTCTGCTCATATGCATTTATTATTTCGCTGTTTTCAGTGAATTGCAGACATTTGTACCTGTAAGTTGTTACTTTAAATTTGAAGCAGTTAAATAATTACATGGTTTGGGATTTACAGTGTTTAAACAGTTCATTCTATTACTTAAAAGGAAAGCACGTTTATTTTTCCTATAGTCTCTAAGTGACTGGAAAAAATAGACTAGTTTCTTCAAAATATTTTGACACACATAATTAAGCATGCTACTTGATTACTCTTAGATTTTATTTTCTTTTCAATTAGTCCTGTATTTTTGGTATAACTGCTTATTTTACAAATTAGTGTCTCTTAATTTTTAACTTGTTTTTCAGGATGGTACTAGAACAAAAACAGACACAGACCAATGGAACAGAATTGGGAGCCCAGAAATAAACCCATACCTATATATGGACAGTTAACCTACAACAAAGGAGCTAAGAATACACATTGAAGCAAGGAAAGCCTCTTCGGTACGTGGTGTTGGGGAAACTGGACAGCTGCAAGCAAAAGAGTGGAATTAGACCACTATTTCACACCATATTCAAAAATCAACTCGAAATAGACAAAAGTCTTGGATGTAAGACCTGAAACTGTAAAAACAGAAGAAAACACCACACGACACAGTCTTCAAAGAAGTCTTTGTAGATTTGTCCCCAACAGTAAGGAAAGCAAACATGAATATAAACAATTGGAATACCATAGAACTAAAAAGTTTCTGACAACAAAATCACCAAAACACACACTACTGCTGAGAGAAAATATCTGCATATATATATCTGACAAGGGGTGCAAATCCAAGATCTACAAAGAACTTATACAACTCAAAAAAAAAGGTAAAGAGCTAAATAGACATTTTTAAAAAAGATTTTATTTATGCATACAAGAGCTGGGGTACATACAGGCCAGAGATGTGGGGGGTGAGCAGGTTCCCCAGACACAGAATGGGGAGCAGAAAAAGCAGACTGATAAAATACACTGCTGAGGAGAACACTGGGCAAGACAGGAGGGGTCTGCCATGCCACGTGGGTCACCTCTCAGGCCAGAGATCAAACTTATAGCTTGATAGTGCTGCGTTTTCACCCCTTGCACCAACAGGGAGACCCCTAAATAGACACTGCTAAAGAAGACCTACAGATGGCCAACAGGCACATGAAAAAATGTTCATCACCACTTACTGTCAGGGAAATGCAGATCAAAACCACAATGAGATACCACTTCACACCTCTGAGAATGGCCCTTACCAAAAAGACCCAAAACAAATGCTAGGAGGGATGTGGAGAAAAAGGAATACTCTTACATTGTTGGGGAAATGTAGACCGGTTCAGCCCCTATGGAAAACAGTGTGGAAGTTTCTCAAAAGATTAAAAATTGTTTTACCATATGACCCAGAATTTCACTCCTAGGTATCTATCCGAGGAATGGAATAGACAAAAAACACCAATTAGAAAGAAATATGCACTCCCATGTTTAATGCAGCATTGTTTACAAGAGTCAAACTATGGAAACATCTTAAGTGCTTAAATACAAATGAGTCAATCAGAAAGATGTGATATATATACACAGTGAACTACTACTCAGCAATCAAAATATAAACTCTTGCCATTTGCCAAAACATGGATGGAGCTAGAGAATTATGTTAAGTGAAATAAATCTGGAGAAAGACAAATACTGGGTCACGTCACTTGTATTGGAATACAGAGAAACCAAAGGATCATATAAAGCCAAACAATAAACCTTACAAAGCTGACTACAGAACTGAGGCTATCAGGAGGAGAGGAGAGAGGGAAGAAGAAAGTGGTTAGGGAGTACAATGGACTATGGGTGATTCGTGGTGGTACAGAATGTCAGCACCACCTGAAGGGGAAGGTCCTATACATCTAAAACACAAACAACAATATAAAACAATGTTAACTTCAATTAAAAGATATTTTTATGATTAAATCTTCAATTATATACTTCTTTATCAAAAAAATTGGCTTTCATAAAGGAAGTTTCAAGGAATAAGGGATTTATTGAGGGAAGACTGCACAGTTAGAAGATGATACAGAAGTGGCAAAAATAGTCCAGCTGTGTGTGGTTGGGGTCTAATAAATGTTAGCTACAAGTCAACAGGGAGTTATTAGGGCTCTTTTTTCTTATTTCCACAGAGCTTTATTCCTGTTGGTTACACTACTTGCTGAGACAAAAGTTAACTACAATGACAGATCAGCTGTGGTTATAGGTTATAATTTCAATCACCCTTTGCATAACATTAAGGGTGCCACTATGTTTCTTGGAACTAACATGAACACTCTTCCTTGTTCAGTAGAATATTCTGTCAGCCCTCGAATAGACTCCTTTCTTCCCTAGTTCTATTATTCTCCAGCTATCACCTTAGAAAAAGAATGACAAGTATTTCATAGGCCAGTTCTCTCATGAGGACAGAACTTTTCACTCTGTAACTCACAGACCACTTATCTTCCCTACAGGCTAACCCCCTAACTTTCACATGGGCTAACACTCACTCTCATACCCTAGTATGTATTTTTGTCATGCACAGTTTTTGGCAAAATCCTAGTCTAGGATTTTAGAGCTTTGACCTAGATGATCCTCAAAAACCAGGGTTCTTGGTTTGACATTCCCAAACATCCAATATCTTTTGAATGCATCCACCCTGTTTAAAAGTGCTTAAAAGATTTTTAAAGGATTCTGTTTTTTTAATTATTTTGGAAAATTTCAAACAACTATAAAAAGTAGAAGAGTGTGTCCTAACTCCCTGTGTACACACCTCTCACATCTGCAATATATATTCACAGCGAGGCATCACTGCAAGCTGTGCCACCACTCAGAATCTTCTAAACTCAATCCTTGTCTGCTTAAAAAGTATTTGTAACACACACATATATATATACATATATGTATGTTTTAAAAAAGATGCTTCTGAAAAGATGCTTTTCCTAAAATGTATTTCTCCTAATGAGTTAGTGTTTTTTTATGCTTTCACCCAAAAATAATAAACAGAATTATCATGTTCATTAGGGAAAATGAACCAGAATGTAAGACTTTAGAGATTCAATATAGCTAACACTTAACTTCATTAGGATGTCAAATGAGATGAATTTATGAATTACCTAGCTTATTTAATTCTATGTGCAATCAGTGGCTTCTATTACAACCACATAAAATTGACCACTGATATTAATAATTATTTTATTATAAGTTATTACGTATCTTTATATAAACTATTCTTAATGAAGATAACTAGTCTCAACTTTTAAAGTTCTATTTTCTTCATTTACCTATGTAAATCAAAGCAAAATTATGTATCTGACAGAGCTGAGGCTTGATAAATGCCATTCTTCCCTATCCACCTTACCTCTTTTGACCTTATCTCAATAAAGTCCATGTGGCTATCAAAGTAAACAAATTAGATGACAATCAGAAAGGAAGAAAACAGCACCAATCCCCTAGTTCAGATAATTAACATTTCATCAACATCAGTAAGACTACTGAACCCACTAAAAACATTTAAGAATGCTTTTGTCTTTATAAACTTTTCTCTACTTACAATTTTCTGCTGCCTGTTTAATTCCAGGTTCATCCTCTTGTGAATCTGGTGAAAGTCCAATTATATCAAACCTACAAAATAAGATTAAAAGAATAATTTTATTCTAAAAATAATGGTCTCCTGGCAAGTACATTTTACTAAACGCATGGTATTTTGGCTAACCAAAGACATTCTCTAGAACATGAAATTCAAAATATCTACAGAGGTCAAGCAATTAACTTTAATGTGTTAATTCTTTTATCCTAACTAGAAAGGATTCTAATGTGAGAGTCAACATTTCTGGATAAGAACATGTAAGAAATTACCTACACCAACTTTATAGTCTGTCTAGTAGTAATCTCAATCAATATTAAAAAGTCTGTAATCCTAACTAATCATTTCTCCTTCTATTGCATCTTAAGTCAATTCAATGGATTAGTGTCATGTCACTGTTGAACATAGGTTTTTATAGTGATCTCCACCCATATTGTGCTGAACTTTTCAACATGCATTGTTGATATGCAAACCAGAGACCATGGGAAACCTTCCTTTCTATATCTGTCTCTTACTCATGTAACATGATTATGGTTTTCAGAAACATTACACAGAAATTTTAAGTTCTGGATAGGAATTGTGCCAGAGTAGGAAGATTTAAGAACAGGGGTAGGAATGAACAAGTAGAGAATACAATAGACTATACCCTAAGAACAAATAGTGTGGATACAGGGAAGCAAACTCAGAGATGGAATAGTTCCAGCTGACAAGGCCCAGAAATGACTGTGGATGACTAAAGTTGAGAGAGCAAAATGTCACTGGGAAAAGAGGAGGGTTAAGAAGTAAAAAACCAGTCCAGGCCATGAACTGACTATTTAAATGGAATCCTTTGCGGTAAAATAAAGAAAATAGTGTCAGTTCTTTGTTCTGCCCAGCCACTTCCAGACTGATTTCTTCCAGCTGCTTTCTGAAACACCTGCCATCAGGTCCTTTAAAGGTAATGACTTTGACACCTGACTCATTTTCATTTCCTTTCTACCTCCTGCCACCATAAATGAAAAAAAGAAATCACAGTCTGGGAGTGCCTCAGAGGAACAAAGAACTGACACTGGTTCCTAACCATAAAGTATACTAGGAAGGTGAGTGAGAACACTGAGAACTAAAGAATTGGCTTCCTAAAAAAATCCCAGAAAGTTGGAAAGATTATGATTTTTGTGTCCTAATCTGAGTGCTTGCCACATGGAGTTATTCAAAATCAACAAATGTTTATTTAGCAGAAGAAAATATTTTCTATAGTATTTCTATTTAGCCATTCTCTCCTGTTTCTCCACCTATTGATACAGTTACTCAACTTTATCCCTGAATCTAAACTATAAAAGTTTATGACTGAAAAAAGGTTAAATTTAAAGCTAATTCAAAGTTAAAGTTAATTACAGCTGTAACTATATATAACAAAATCATAGCTAATTTAAAAATGCTATATATAAAAGCACTTCTGACTAAAAAGTAGAAATAAAAAGTTCTTATTGAAAAGTAAATTCTTACTTACCAAGAAGGCATGGCCATGTTCATGTTTAATGTTACAGGCATAACTGGTCTACATAAGAAATAAATAAACAGCATAAACAGCAAAATAAGAATACAATAAGGCCTAAAACCTACTAAATACCAACACTTTAGACAATGCTTACACAAAACTGCCGCAATGTTCACATTTAAGCTGATTCACTGCGTCTACATCTATACAATTCTGTTCTCCACACCATCCAAGTGTGTTCTGAAGACAGAGCAGCAACGTGAAAGTACAAAGCTCAGCAAACAAAAAACATTTTTGTTTTTCAATGCCCTTACTTAATGCTCTCAAATCAGACATGTGAAGGGAAATCATTAACCAAGATAATAGGGAGGTATAAAATATGATATTCTGGTAAAGGGGCTAAGGAGATAAGCAATTTATTGCCCAAATACTGTAGCAAATCCTGTGTGCTAGGTTACATTTCTTTATTTTCTAGTTCTTAAGTATGTGCCTACTAGTTTTTAGGAGACTTCTAAGTAAGAAAGGGAAATATAAGATTTGCCATTACATCCAAATCAAGTCAGTGATTAAAATTTGCTGGGTAATCAAATCATCTAGACACCACAGAAAAATAAATGTGTATAACTATATCTCAGCCCTACCTTCCTGACTTATGAAATAAATCTATCTTGGGATTAAGATGCCGTATCTAAATTTCTTTGAGAACATAAACATCCTTAGATTAGAAAATATCATTAAGCCAAATTCAAACTTGGGACCAATAACAATACAACAAAGTTTCCAATACAATCAAGAATTCTGTGTGGTACACAAATCACAATAGTAGAGTACACAGCTGTCCTAGCCAAAGCATGTCTGTGGCTTACAGACCTAAGATAAACCCTCCATTTCAGGATAAAGGGGAAGGAATATTTTCTTACCTAATCTCAGACATTGTCTCACCTCCATTCTCTTCTTTATATTTATCAGCTTCACTGCTATTACTACTTCTGAGGATGAATTACTAACCTAAAAGAATTTATCTAATCCCATTTGTATTCTTCATGGCTACTGCTTCTCAGTAACCCATTTTAATATAAAATTTGCCAACTCTATTGATTTTCTGAATTTCTAAAAAGCTTTTTTACATAAACATTTGGCTACTGCTTTTTTACATAAACATGGCTACTGCTTCTCAGTAACCCATTTTAATATAAAATTTGCCAACTCTATTGATTTTCTGAATTTCTAAAAAGCTTTTTTACATAAACATTTTAAGAATTCAAAAAATTCTTAATTAAAGAATTAAATTTAAATTCAAAATTTAAGAACTCAAACTATACTCCAATTCTGCATTCTTTCTGTAGATATCACATTACCTCAAAATAGAAAATGAAGGAGTATTTTCAACACTGTAAAGATTTTTCAGAAACCTGACAGATAAATAACCTTCAGATGTCTCATGAATATATTTAGAACTTAACAGGTATTTGGTAAGCTAAAAGAAATTTCTTGAAAAAAAAAAATGAATTCAACATAACCCAGAAATAATTTTAGTTTAAGAAGTAAATTTTATTTTAAACTCAGTGTTTAAAAGATAAAAAGCAACTGTAGGCCTTCCCTGGTGGCGCAGCGGGTTAAAGGACAGCAATAAGAAGCTAAAGCCACTTCAGCATGAGTTCGATCCCTGCCTGCCCGGAGGTGATCCACATGGCCAGACAGACCTCTCCTGACAGACCTGCTGCTCCCCTCAGCAGTGTACTTTGTCCATCTGCCTGTTCTGCTCCCCGCTCTGTCTCTGGTGAATCCTCTCACCCTCCGCATCTCTGGCCT